CCAAGAGTTTCTTTGAGTGAAGATTGCCAGAAAAAAATATTCCCCGAGCACACTCCTACCAAGAGCCATAATGGGTAGGATAAGCGGTGATTTGTCCGAGAAGAAGTCCGCTTAATTATGAAAAGAAACAGACGATTAATTCGAGCGTTTAATTGGTCTAAAAATAACTTTGGTGAAATTCACATATGCCAAGGGCTAGACTGCACGTTTCCGTCTCTGTCCCATTATGGCTCTTGCTCCTACTTAACTAGCGAACGAAGTATACATTAATTTGGACTCTTTGGGTGCTGAACATATAACGTCGACCCTGGGACACTAACTGGTATCAGATTAAAACAGGCTTGAGTGCATAACACATTATATTGGATGTAAAGTATAGAATTGAAAACTTATCCTTAATTCCCTTATCTTTGTACTTGTCTTCTTCCTTCGCGTTATTAAGTATTAAATGCATTAGAATACTACATATCTCCACTTTAGTAAATGAAGAGTAAAAGACAGGCTAACCTGCAAATCCTTCACGGTCTTTCCGAGAAGTTCAAAGTTTGCCTTAAGTGGCTTATCACTTCACAAAAAATTGTTTCTGTTAGGCGAGTTAATTAAAGGCATCTGTTCCACAAAAAGTTTTCGCGATGTTTAAACAACTTAAGAATTAATATAGTTTGAATTTCATACGAGCGTTAAATTTCACAGCATCTGAGATTGAGAATAAGTTACCGCGCCGTACATCAGCTTATTAAGTTGATGTAAGTTCAATTCTCAAATTAGCTTCGTTGTTCCTTATATCTCTGGACCGGCTCTGAATCTTTATTTGGCAGTTGGGTGCTGAACAGAAAGGAAAACTATTCAAGCAAACAACTTTGACCGCGTTGACACTTCCTTTGCTGGACAACTTAAACGTCAAGTATAGCACATCTACCAAGAAAAAAAAAAGAACAGTAGAACTCTCTTACCGGTACGCCTGTCATAAGGGAGCAGCAAAGACGGCAATGGCTACAAAAACGGCATTTAAAAAGTGAATTCACGCTGCTTCAAACTTTATCGAGCTTATTTTATCTCTTTTAATTCGTCAAATGTTGGCAAATTTTTCTGGAGTTCATTTCTAAAGTACTGTAGTACAGGAAAAGCGTGAGAAAGAGGAAGTCGTTGTCATGTGTTCACGTCCTGCACAAAACGTGAAATTAGGCATTTTCATGTCGAAGTAGTGCAGTGACGGCAAAGAAGTGTACAAAAAAAGCGTGATGCACGCGCAAAGTCAGTCTTGTTTTACTGTCTAAACCGATTGCTATTTTGCCGTTCTCGTTGCCGTCGCTGTCGTCGTTGCGAGCCTGAAGTAGACGATTATTTTCAAAAGTTTTTAATTAACTTGGAAGGCAGTATCATGAAGCTCTAAAGAAAGTTGTGTCGGTACAAAGTTTACACAGGGTCCAGAGGAGTTTCGTGTGAATAAATGAATTACTTATGTAAAGTCTCACCTTGAAAAATGTCTATACCTGTCGCTTAGTACGATTAATTAGCCCAATGGGATCTTTATGAATCTACTGTAAACGATTTCTTCGCTTCTCATCTGACCCAGATCGACTTTGTTGTTCGCCATTTTGAAAATCAACCGCCGAGGTCAAATATTCATCTCGCAAAATAGCGCTTAAAACAGCACGGGACGGCAAAAAAAAAACATGACATATGACTCAGTTAACATTTTCTTTAAACTTTTATTGAAAAATTTGCTTTAAATTCTACATTTTGGAACAAATTACAGCCGCCGTATTGTTCATATGTATTTCTTCTATAAATAACAAAAGATCGTTGCTCAGATTTCAATCAACAACGGCCCCCCCTAACAGTGGGTGGTCTGCCTGTGATTTGTTGCGGTGCACAGCGAACGAAGCGCTATCTCGAAGCAGTAAATTTCGGTCGCAGAAAATGAATTTGAACGCTTTTTTATGCCGTTTTCCTACAGTATTTGGGAAATACATAAGAATTCTAGATCAGGTTAGTAAAATAAGTAGTCTGCTACACAGCCGTTTTTAGTGTCGTCACGCAACGCTCCTCCCCACAAACGGCTGCTGAAAACCGAACTACATTCCTTTCCCTTTGTGTTTGTGGTCTAACGAACAAGCCAATCAAATTTGATACTGCTGCACTAAAACCAAATAACCCATTTTCCTGTTTTGATATAAGATGGGGAGAATTTTCCAGAAGGATTTGCATACTTACGCGAAGAGTCCGATCAAGATCTGGTTATAAAATCTGCTTGA